GGCTTAGCAATTTAGAGTGCTTACTGCTCTTCCTGAGAACAGAAGTTCGTTTCTTAGTTCCTGTCTGCCTACAACTTCATCTCCAAGGGCATCCTTGGCTTCTCGTCTCTGGGGCATCTGCACTCAGGCACACACACACACACACACACACACACATACATACACACACAGAGACACACATGCACACACCTAAAATAATTTTTTTAATTGTCAAATAAATTCCCCTCTTTCTGTAGTGACACATGCCTGTAGTCCCATCTGCACAGGAGGCTGAGAAATTACTTGAGGCTGTGAGTTCAAGATCAGCCTAGGTTGGGTTAGAGAGATGGCTCAGAGTTAAGAAGAATGCTTACTTGGGGCTGGAGAGATGGCTCAGTGGTTAAGAGCACTGGCTGTTCTTCCAGAGGACTCAGTTTCAATTCCCAGCACCCACATGGCAGCTCACAACTGTCTGTAATTCTAGTTACAAGGGATCTGACACCTTCACACAGATATACATGCAGGCAAAACACAATGCACATTAAAAAAATAATGAATTAAAAAACAAGCAAAAGCCAGGCAATGGTGGTATACACCTTTAATCCCAGCACTTGGGAGGCAGAGCAGATCTCTCTCCAGGTTCAAGGTCAGCCTGGTCTATGGGAGTAAGCTCTAAGATAGTTAGGACTGTTACACAGAGAGACCCCTGTCTCAAAAAAGAAAGGAAGGAAAAAGAAAGAAAAGAAAAAAGAAGAGTGCTTCTTAACTGCTCACTGTGGAAACACCTTCAATACTTATCTTCTGGCCTCAGATGTGTACATATATATACACATACAGAAATAAAAAGTAAAATAATATCTTTTTTAAAAAACATTTATTTATTTATTTTTATTACATATATAGTATTCTGTCTGCATGTTTGCCTATACGCCAGAAGAGGGCACCAGATCTCATGATCGATGGTTGTGAGCCATCATGTGGTTGCTGGGAATTGAACTCAGGACCTCTGGAAGAGCAGTCAGTGCTCTTAACCTCTGAGTCATCTCTCCAGCCCGTAAAATACTATCTTAAAAAACAAAACAAAACAAAACAAAACAAAGAGAAGCCAGGAAGTGGTGGCTCATGCCTTTAATCTCAGCACTCAGAAAGCAGAGACAGGCAGATCTTTGTGAGTTAGAGGCTAGCCTGGTCTACAGAGTGAGTTCCAGGACAGGCTCTAAAGCTACACAGAGAAACCCTGTCTCAAAAAAACAAAAAAACCCAACCTAGGCAATATAGTGAGACCTTGTCTTTCTACCCTGTCTTCTCATAGTGCAGCCTGAGCTTCAGAAATACACTTGGGTAATAATACCTTGTACGAACTATGAAAGAAGCAGGGCATTGGTGGTACACGCCTTTAGTCCCAGCACTCGGGGGGAAAAAAAACTACGAAAGAGTGGGGAGTTTGGGAACATCGTCATGGCACATTGAGTTATAATGTCATGTCTTAAGGTCTTTGCTGGACTGTTGGTGAGGCTGATTGGCTTCCAGCTTGTGGGAGCATGGCCCCGTGCTTCCTTTGGCCTAGTACACTCTGCTGTTTCTCAAATCCCATTTGTCTTCCTACACTGATCACATTGGAGCATGCTGCCCCTGTGTTTTGACTGTGTGCTAACCTTATGGCTTCTGTTCTCCTCAGACTGGGATCAGATCCAGACAATAGACTCCTTGCTCAGGAAAGGTGGCTTTAAGGCTCCAATTACCAGTGAATTCAGAAAATCAATCAAGCTCACCAGGTAAGTTGCTGTCCTGTTCTTTTGTTAGTTTTTCTTTAATGGGAGTTGAATACAGGATATCTGGTGGGAAGGAGAAGAAAACAGTGTTTATACCCCTAAGCTAAAGAAGTTTGTGTGAGATAATGAGCTCTAAGGAAGCAATGGCTGCAGAAGTGGAGACTCCCCAGCTATTCTTTGTCTCTATGGTCAGTGTAACAGGGTTGAAGCAGGGTTAGGCCTGCCAAGGAGGGTGGGTGCCTGCCATGTTGTTGTAACGTTAAGGGGGAGGTTGGAGTTCAAAGGTAAGGGCTCCAGGAAAATCCAGGGTCACTTGAGGTGCTTCCTGGTCACCATGTAGTCAGATGGCAGAGAGTAAAGGAGAGCAAATTACAGGGAGCTAACAGGACCCCCTTTGGGGTGTAGTACTAGTACAGGAAGCTGGCTAGTTTTATGGAACAGAAAGTAACTTGGGTCTGTATCCCAGGCTCCATTATTTATTAGCTATGTAACCTGAGCCAGTTAGTCCATCTCCCTGAACTGTTTCCTGTCTGTAAGATGTGAGTTGTAAATCCTTCAGATTTTAAGACCTTGTAAGGTAAGGTATAGCGTTTCCAGCCAAGGGCCAGGGCAACACACTAGATATGTTCAATGGATGTCAGTGTTCTGCCCTTTCCTGCTGATATTGGGAACAAAGAGAAGTTAGCTTTGGTGGGCCTTTGCTAGGACCCTCATCTACAAAATGCTGAGTCATCGTATGCTAGCCTCACAGGTCTGTTTGGAAGATAACCCAGTGTTTTTGAATACATTAAATTAAAAAAATCAAGGGGCTGGGACTGTAGCTCAGTGGTAGAGCTTAATACATAGCATGCTCAAGGCCCTGGGTTCCATCTCTAGCACCCAAAAAAAAAAAAAAACAATAATAATAACAATAATAATTAAAAACACTGCAAATACAAAGCATTATTACTATTACAATTTATTTGAACAGCCATTTCCCTGTCAAAATTCAGGAATAATCACCTTGCAGTGGAGGAGTGATTACAGTGGGAAAGAGATGGCTCTGGGTAAGGATTGTCACCCAGCTCCTGTGGTCTGTAGTAGGCTCCATAGGTTTGTAACACCCATGCTTTGCATCCTGACTCATGGCTCTTTCCAGAGCAAAGCCAAAGTGCTATGAATTCTGTTCTGATGACCCTGTGATATGGCATATTCATCTGGGGATTGAGACCTTCCTATAGCCAAGGATCCATTAACCTGCTTCATCAGAATTTGACCCAGAATTAGGTATCTATGCCCCTTTTAGTTATAAGTTGTTTGTTGCTCTTCTACAAATGGAGGTTGCATTTCTGTCAAATTTATCTCATTTTTAACCTGAACGTAGATAACGCAGTTTACACTGGGTTTTGGTGCAGCCATCTTCCAATCTGCCACCCATGTAATTTGACTTTGAAATTCTTCATCCAGATCCTGGTAGCAGATTGCTTACCAGCAGCCTGTTGATAAGCATATGTAGCGTTTTGAGGTGGGATGTGCTGAGATACATTCTCAGGGGTGAACTGTGATTGTGCTTTTTCATCTCGTTCATTTGTAATAACAGCATCATTTTCTTGTGCCGTCTTTTCATTTTCTGTAAGTAAGATTGCTCTTGGTCTTCCATTTTATTCTTTGAAACTGGGATAAGCTTTTGGTTTTCCCTGAGTGACTCTTCACACTGAGACGTTTGGGGTTCCTAATACCTTTGCCTGTTTCCTCATACAGGTATCGGAGTGAGAAGGTGACAATCAGTTATGCAGAATATATTGCTTCTCGACAACACTGTTTCCAGAATGGCACTCTTCATGCCCCGCCCCTCTACAATCATTACTCCTGACACACGGCTACATGACCAGTCCCACCCCCCTGTGGCCACCAATGGCTATGACATCATTGGAGCAGATGCCTCCTCTTCCTGGTCCAGTTACTTCTATTACTGCACCATTTTATGATGCTAGCTTCCGTTGCCAAGTCTGCCTCCTGCTGACTGGAGGGTGTGGGGTTACAGTGAATGCAACAGAACATGAGGGGCCCAAGCCTTATATCAGCCTTTCCTCATCCTGGGGTTCTGGATCAGGGCTCCCTAATAACCAGTGGGAATGGCTGTGTGGGTTCAGATTTCAGTTGTCTGGTGATTTCCCACATGTGTGTTGGCCACACACGGAAAACTGGAATTGATGACGATCCATGGAGGCTTCTTCCCCAATCCCCCACGGCCCACCAGACCAATTAGGTGTACTCCCCTGGCAGTCTGGGCAACGGAGACCAACATGAACCACTTATAGGTTGTTTTAAATTCCTTTTTTAAACTTCCAGTTTATTGTGTACCAAGAGTTGATCACAACCTCCATGCTTCATAAGTGAACACCATGTTAGGGTTGACTGTGGGCACCATGAGCCCCTGTGAGTCCTGGATAAGAGAACTGCAACAAGATCAGAAGTCCTGTTGGATGGCTTTGCATTGTGCAATAAGCTGTGAAGGTTTAATGCTTACCCGACTCTCAGCTGGACTTTCTGGTACTCTTCCTGCATTGAATCTCCTGGTGTTGAACAGAGCTCTGCAGCATAGCCTGCTGAGGAATGGAGTGGAGATGCCCATACAGGTCCTGATGTCATCGTCATAAGCAGGTGTGAAAAGAGAGATCTCTTCCTCACCACCCGGCTACCTCAACCCTCTTCTGGTAGCAGTGCCTATGTAGCTGCATCTAAGTTCTCAGAAGCACAGACATGCAAACAGGTGGTTGGGCTGGGCTTTAGGACGCACTGTCACAGGAGAGCTTCCAGGGTCTCTAAGCTGGTTTACTTCACAGGCAAACATCCTGTGGGACCGACAAGTAGGGCGGTTCTTTTTTTTTCCGATTTGCCTGCAGAAGTGGGAAGACTTGATATATCAGTCCTCAGTAGGACTCTAGAACAAAGCTGTGTAATAAAACAAGGTGAACCTTTTAACTTGCCTGCCACACTGGGACTCTTCACCTCACCGGTGTAAATGTCAATTGCTCGTGTTGCTCATTTAAACCCTTGACATTCCCTTTCCCATCTTTACTCATTCCAAAATAGCTGTCAGCAAATTCTTTTCACTCACTTGGTGGCAAAATGTATAGCACTAGGAGACCAGGGAGGGGCTCTGAAAGCTCAAAGGCACTGCTCAAGCAGCTCAAAGGAAGAGACAGGCAGCTGCAAGAGAGGTTCCTGAGGATGGCGAGCAGGTTTCAGCACCGCTCACAGAGAACTAACTCATGAGGCAGATCAGGCCTGAGTCAGTGAATATATGCTTTGATTTCTTTTTCAGAATTGATGTGATGGTGTGGGTTTCCAAAATGGGCAAATATTCGGGTCAAAAGATCATCTGAGTTTCTTCTGCCAGGAATGGAGGAAGGGAAGTAGGGGTACTTCCTTTGTGATTCTAGGCATCATCCTCACGTTCCTGGAATTTTTTTCTTTCTTTTTGGATTTTTTTTTTTTTTTTTTTTTTTTTTTTTAAACAGGGTGGGTTGGTTGTGGCAGGAGTGATCAAAGACCTGGAATGGATGAGAGAGGTGCTGATTACATTGGAATGCCCAGGATGCATGCCCCTTACTGCCAGGTTTGGTTCCTTTCCATACATAAAGGGGTCTCATGGTTTCTTGCTGCTGAGGGTAATGAAGGTGATGTTATAGACAAGTGTGACAGGTGCTCTCAGGTGCCATGGATTGATGTCAGGGTGGTCAGTTCTGGACTGAGCCACCCACCTCCAATTTGTACAACAGTATTGATACATAGGGCTACACTCATTACTGTTCAGGCGTTCTATGTTAAGAGTTGTGTTTTATTTCTAAAGATTTAAAGCAAAATGCAAAAAAAAAAAAAAAAATGGTGCTAAACTTCACCCCTGAGCACTCTTGGTGAGACTGGTCATGCAAGCATCTACAGTGCCATGCTCCTCAAGCCTGTTTTTCTTGTAGAAATGTTGCCCTATCTGTCTTCCCCAATGTATAGTATGTATTTTATTTTATTGAGGGTGGGGTAGAATACCTGCCATTTAAGAAAATGAACAGAAAAAATTTAAGGCGTAAGAAGGCGGGGGTGGGGATGAGTGAACATGAATCCGGCTGGCAGTAGGCTCAGTGCTTTCGGAGTGAAGAAGCCTTATTCCCTGCACGTTCCCTCGTGTTCCACAGAGGTCCAGCAGTGGAAATGCTCAAGTTCCTCTTGCCTTGTTAAGGGGACTAGGGAGTCAGGCAAGGAAACTATTTGGCCCAAAAGAAATGGGCTCTATTGGTATCTGTCCTGAGCAGAGCCTAATCATTCAGGAAGAAGTCTGGAAGTGCACAGTCTTGGTCACCTTATGGGAATGTGTGGCAGATGGCTCTCAGGAAAAAAATATCAAGTGTGGATTGTCCACATGGTGGCTTTGCATTGGAAGGTGATGCTCTTAACTAGAACTCAGCTGCCTTCTACACGTTGACCAGAGCAGTGGTGAGGGTGGCCAGTATGGGGCCAGTAAGTGATGGTTGAGGAAAAGGGACCGTTTCCTGCCAAATGTTTCCTTTGACTGTAGGCTGCTCCAACTAAAAGAGGTCCCCACTGTTATCAAAGAACCAGCCGGACTCTGCTGGCTTGGTTTGGAATTTGTTTCATCCCTAGCTGTGAGTGCCTTTAGGTCTGGGAAAGTTGGCTTGTCTCATCATACCCACAGCTAGGACACACTCTGTAATTATGAATTGTCCTTGTTTTCCTGAGCTAAAAGCGAATGTCTTTGATCACTAGAGTTTGTCAGTGTTGGGTTGTTTCCACTGTGAGGTTCTTAAAACGTTTTCGCTTCATAATGTTAAAAATAACTCATGTTAGAAACCCTTTCTACATGAAAGGTTTGTAGTTGAGATGTTACATATATTTTACTGTTTATAATAAAAATCATCTATACAAAAGTCTTGGGTGTTAATTTTAATATTTTGCACAAGATCTGTTTTCCACACTATGTTAACATCTACAATTTCACTAACTTGGTGTTACTTTCTATTGAGATTTCTGGAGCCTAAAAAACTAGGTGTTCTTTATGTTTTTACTTTATTTTTATTTTGTTTCCTCGAAGCAAGAAACTGTATGGCCTTCACTGCAAAGACTTCAGACCAATTATTTGTATTCCATTTGGTTGCCTCTTGGCTATATAACTTCTGAGTACAAGTCATCAAGGTCTTGAATGAAGTATTGTAGAGAATAAATCATAATGGATACAAACTGTCTTCTGCCTCTTTGTAACCAGGTGACTTGATATCTGAAACAGTGATCAGCAGTTATCTCCTTTCTTTGTTATAGGTTCTCATAAGAGATCAGCCTGCCTGCCTCTGCCTCCTAATTGCTGGGATTAAAGGTGTGCACTACCATTCCCAGTAAGATTATTACCTATTAAAAAGATACCTGTGAGCTAGGTTCGGTGGAGCCATCCTTCAGTGCCAACACTCTGGAGGACTACACAGTGAAAGGCCCTGTCTCTTAAAAAACCAAACAAAAAAAAACCTGTAGATGAGTTGGCTCAGCAGATAGATGAAGGTGCTTGCCACCAAACTTGACCTGAGTTCTAGCCCTGGGACATAATATGGTTGAAGGAGAGGGCTTAGCAAGCTGTCCTCTGCCTTTATACATGTGCCCTGGCACAGATGCATGCTCACAGAAATAACTATTTAAAGATTCTTATCATTTGGGATTAGAGGTGCTTAAATATGTGACTAAATGGCCATCTTTCTGTTGCTGAGGACAATGGTGCTAATTCTTGTTTCGAGTGGGGGTGATGAGGTTACCTTAAAGCCCATTCCAAAACTGGGCATGGTAGCTTATGTCTGTCTTCCCAGCACTTGGAGACTAAAGGATGATGGGCAAAAGTTCAAAGCAAGAGTGGACTACAGAATAAAATCTTATCTCAAAGAGAACAATGGGCTGGAGCGATGGCTCAGAGGTTAAGAGCACTGGCTGCTCTCCTGGAAGTCCTGATTTCAACTCCAGCAACCACATGGTGGCTCAGTCTGGTGCCCTCTTTTGGAATGCAGATACGCATGCAGGCAGAACACTACACATAAGAAATCTGGTGTGGTTGCACACACATTTAATCCTGTCACTTTTGAGGCAGAGGCAGGCAGATCTCTGTGAGTTTGAGGCCAGCCTGGTCTACAAAGACAGTTCCAGGACAGCCAGGGCTGTTACACAGACAAACCCAGTCTAAAAAAAAAAAAAAAAACCAAAAAACAAACAAAAAGAAACGACATAGTGACATATGCCTCTTAACTTCAGGAAGCAGAATAATTGCTGTGAATTTAAGGCCAGCCAGGACAACACTAAATGCCAAACAAGCATAGGCTACAGAGTAAAGCCAAAACAACAACAGAAGCTGGAGAAATGGTTCAGTGGATAAGAGCACTTAGGTTTTCAGCACCCACATGTCACAACCAACAACCATCTGTAACTCAAGTTCCAGTGGATGTGACCCACTCTTCCAGCTCCCTTAGATACTGCACACACACATGATACACACACATGTACATGCAGGCAAAACAGCCAGGACTTGAGGGGCATGGTGTCTCATGCCTGTAATCCTGGCACTCAGAAGGGCAGAGACAGGCAGATCTTTTCGAGTTCAAGGCCAGCCTGGTTTACAATGTTCTGGGAGAGTTGACCAGGGCTATAGAGAACCTGTCTCAAAAATAAAACAAACAAACAAAAAAACTCCAAGCAACCCACCCAGGACTCCTGGCTTGTGAATGAGATTCAAACTCCAGACTTATTGTGTAGCAAGGGTTAACTGCTGAGCCAACTCTCTAGCCCTAGCCTGTTGGAAGTCTCCTTAACCAAGGTCCAGTATACAGTGCTATGGCAGGATGGTTCTCTAACCATCAGAATTGTTATTCAGTGCTATATATAAAGTGGGATTATGGGCAAGTGTCAAATCCTTTAGAACAGTGGTTCTTAACCTTCCCCAATGCTGCAATCCTTTAATACAACTTCTAGTTGTGATGACCCCCCCACCATAAAAATGATTTTTATTGCTACTTCATAACTGTAATTTTGCTACTGTTATAAATTGTAATGTAAAAAATTTTGGAGACAGAGGTTTATTAAAGGGTTGGGACCTGTAGGTTGAGAATCACTATTGTAGAACCTGGGTATTAGAGGGAGGCAGTGTTTGTGTTTCAAGTCAACATAAGCTTCCTGAAGTTGCAGAGAGTAAATAAGTCCAGCATGGCAAAAGATGAGTTCATCAGGGTAACTGACTGGTGTATGGCCAACTCACAAACAGTTATACAGCTGAAAAATGCCAACACTGCTCTTCAAGTTCTACTTCTCCCTTCTTTTGAGGGGTATCAAGTTCTCATGTACCTCAAACTGACCTTGAAGTCACAACAGAGTTAACATCTGATGGGGTTACAGATATGCATGCTCCACCCCACTCTCTAGAGGTACTTGGGTCAGAACTCAGATTCATGCATGATAGGCAAGTACTTCGCTGAGTCACATTCCTAGCTCCAAGGTCCTATTTTATGTGGCTTTTAATGTCTACCGCAGAATTCATGCACCTACTGTTAATGAGCTAGAGGCTACACAGACTCAGAAGACCTAAAGTACAGACAAAACCAAGTCTTGCGCTTATAATTTTCAGTGTGTGTGTGTGTGTGTGTGTGTGTGTGTGTGTGTATGTGTGTGCTTCTGAGGATTAACCCCAGGACTTCACACATGCTAGGCAAGTATTCTACCATTGAGTTACATCCAACCAGGAGATCTAGGCTGTTTGCTTAAGTTTGCTTATTTGCTGTGACTCTACCTGTGTGTGTACTTGTGTGGGCATACAACTCTTGGGAGTTGGTTCTTTCCTTTCACCACATGGCTCTCAGACTGAACTCAGGTCGTGATGCTTGGCAGTAAATGTCACCAACCTGAGTCCTCTTGCTGGCTTGAGATCTGAAGGTTTTGTTTGTTTGAGATAGGGTGTCACTATGTAGCCTGTGCTAGCCCAGAACTCACTATGTAGATCTCAAGACTCTTAGAGATCCATCTGCCTTTGTCACTCCAGGGCATATTATCACCTTGCCCACCAGATCTGGAGTTTTCAGGCCTGTCTAGCCTAAGGCAGTGTTATGCCCCCACAAGATGATTTCTATCCTGTTGTGATGATGTGGTAATAGGACACTTTATGTCATTCTCTCTGATCAAGGTCATGTCTTGTCCACTTACTTCAGCAGTGTGGTAGCACAAGTTCTCCAAATCTTTGCTGAAGTAAATCCATCTTAAGATAACTGAAGCTGAAGAGTTGGCTCGGTGGTTAAGAGCAAAGGACCCAGGTTCGATTCTCAGTGCCCACATGGAGCCTCACCACTTCCTCAGGCACAAGGCAAACAAGTGGTTCACAGACACACATACAGGCAAAACACTCATACACAAAAAATAATAAAATAAATCTTAAAAATGCCTTTAAAACAACCAAGATGACATTTAGCTATGTTGTGTGGTAACAAAAAGTGCATTTCTTAGATTTTACAATGCCAGAATCCTTGATAAGAACAAAGAAGGGGGCTGCTGGGGAGATGGTTCAGTGGATAAAAGTCACTCAAATTGACATTCAGGATTAATTACCAAGATTAACCTCTAGAACCCATAGTTCTATGTAGGCAGAGTTTCTCTGTGTCCCAGCAACTGCTCCCAAATAACCACAAAGAGACTTATTATTAATTATAAATGCTCAGCCACTAACTCATGCTTATTAGTAACTAGCTCTTACAACTTAAATTAACCAATTTCTATTAATCTATTGCTGTCCCAAGGCTCGATTACCTCATTTATGAACTTCCCATGTTGCTTCTTTTGCATCTGGCTCTTGATTTCTCTGACTCCAACTTTCTTCTTCCCAACATTCTCTCTGCCCCCCAAATCCTGCCTCGCTACCAGCTAATCAGCTTTTATTAACAATGAGAGCAATACATATTTACAGTGTACATAAAAGCTATCAGCCAAGCATTTATAATTAATAATGGAGCCGGGCATTGGTGGTGCATGCCTTTAATTTCAGCACTTGGGAGGCAGAGGCAGGCAGATTTCTGTGAGTTCAAGGTCAGCCTGGCCTACAGAACAGAGATACAGAGATACAGAGGTACCCTGTCTCAAAATACAAAACAAAACAAAATTAATAATGGATCTCTGTGTGGTTATTTGGGAACTGACTGGCAACACAGAAAAACTCTGCCTACAAATGGTGCCCAAGTGTCCAGCACCTATATCCACATAAAACCTTAAAAAGCTAAAAAAAAAAAAAAAGTTCTAAACACACAAAAACAGGCAAAACTGGCTTCCTAGTCCCATGTCTCTCATAAGGCCCACAGTACCAAGTCTTCCTCCAGCAGCTGCCTGCTGGATAGAGCCAGCCACCAAGAGACAATACAGATACTCGGTAAAGACAGATACAGACGGAAAAACCCTCTAAACAGGTTACAGTGTGTTTTAAAAAATACATAGGCTTTTGAGAGAAAAGAGAAAGGGTAGAGTCAGTCATAGATGAAAAATAATTTAAAAATAACAGTAAAGCCCTTAAGAAGGAATAGAATAAAAATAAAACAACAAACCATATAAAGATGGGAAATACAGAGTCTGTACATTATTATTAGTTTTAGATTTTCTGATTGCTAATGAAGGAACAACAGTTGCTAAGACACACTGGATTATGAAAACTTCTAGATTAAACCAACCTATATATTTTAAAGAATGTCTTCACTTCAAAATGGAAGTCAAAAGATATGGTACTATGGGGAAGAGGTTATGCTTTTATTTCCACAGGAGATGAGAGGCTGTGGTTGATATGGATCCAGGTTGATATAGATCAGATTTGATCGGGGAAGATCCCCCTGAAAATCCTGACTACAAACATAAAGAAATAAACCTAGAAAGCTACAAGATATATAATGTATATTTTACCTCCTGAAATATAAAACAAAAAATCATCTTTAATAGAATTATACATATCACATATTTCATTAAATGTATATTACATTTAATAATTTATATATTTTCAGAACAAGGTATCAAAACACCAATGAAAATGGGTGGCCTAGGTGATCCAACATCTCAAAATGCTTCTGTTGCAGTTTCCGCAGAGTTCTGCATCTAGAACAGCTTCAAGGCTGCTGGCTGAGATGCTCCAACCTCACAAACTACTCCAACCATGACTTAACCATTATCCTAAACTTTCTCAGTATCCCTCA